CAGTGGTGTTCATTTTCCATTTTACATCCAGTCAGAAAACCACTGTTACTGTCACAGTTTTTGCACTTCCCAAGCCCATTGCAAATACTTAGATTTCTATCATACAAAATATACCCTATGTAATATTTACTTCCCTTTTCTGCCCACCACTCATAGTCTCACTGTCAGTTCTATCAATATATTGCCTGCTTCTCTCTCTCCCTTTGTTTGCTGTGAGCCAAGCCCTGGCATCTGCGAGCCTTATGTTTGACAATAGTGAGCTATTCAATTCTTTGTTTACACCACACGAGGGTGTTTCAGGCTGTGCAGCATGCCAGAATCAATCTGGAAGACACCCCGTTTGGAAAGGAACCAAGGGGCAAACAGATACATCATTTTTCCACTGATTAAAAGTTTTATCAGGGCAAACTGGTACAGGAGAAAGGAAAGGAAAAAGATGAAGCATCATAAACTAGAAAACAGATGGAAGAGGAATTTTAAAGATGTAATCAGATGTTCCCTGAAATAAAATACTCTTTACTGTGAACTTCGCTATCTTTCCCTGAGCTTTGTCTTGTCCTTAAAGAATAATTTCAAATATAATATGATTTCATATTATTTCTATTAAAATCTCCTTAGACAGGATTAAGCAATCATTATCCCCCTACATAGCTTTTCAGGAGCTTTCCATTGGTCTATTGGTCAAAAGTTAATTGCAGAGTCAGGAAGAATTGCTTACTAACATAATAAATAAAAACAAATTTCTCCTTTGTATCCTGCTTCTTCTGGAGTCAAAGCATACACAGATCTTTCTAATGTTTGCCACTTCTAACACGTGGTGCCTGTAAATCCAGTAAAGACCATGCAAACAATACCCTGTGCTGGTTAGCAGGTATAAATTTTGTGCATAGCTTTATCAAGCAAACACAGACAAGACACCAAACAAAGCTGGAGCAATTCTCAAGGCTTTCAACACAGCTGCAAGGAGGAGAACATTCCTGAAAAGAGAAAACTCCATACATCTGTATTAAGATGGGCGAAACAGCCTATCCCAGGAAATCCCAAGTGACAAAGCCTATATCAGCCACTGTTATCTAAAGAGTCTGGCACTGGGATGGCTGGGGAGTCCTTGCTCTCCCACAGCCTGCTCCCTGCTCCCAGGCACTGCCACACCTCTGCCTGCACTCCAATTACTGGAGCACACCATGCAAACAAGTTTATAGGGGTGATTCTTAAATAAACAAGCCAAGCTTAATTAATTTACAGGACCAAAAGGTGCCTTGTAAGTGAAGCTGCTGCACTACTGTTTAAAAAGGATGTGTCATTCAGAGTGAGGCAAAAGGTAATTCAGGGGGATTAAGGCTTGGGATAGCTGTGAGGTGTGCCAGGAGCAGGGCATCCTCTAAGCTCAGAGCTGTCCTCTCTCTTGTCAGAGAGGTGGACGCCAGGCTGAGGACACCTGTCTGCTCCACACACCCTATGGGCTTAGGGGTGGCAGCCTTTCCTGGACCTCCATCAGCAGGACCCAGCACTACCTGGATACAACAGGCAGGAATGCACACCACGGAGTTCTGGGAAGGGTCACTCACTCCACTGCAATGGCCAGGCCTTGCCACTGACTTCACAAGGCACCTTAGCAACTGCTAACAAATACTGAAAACAAATTCCTTCCTTTTGTGACTTTCCCCCCTCACCCTGCAGCATTCACCATCTCCTCAGTAGCAGAAGAAAACCACTTGTGCATAAAACCATCTAGCTGCTTAGCTTTCCAGTGTGTTGCTTTTATGGCTGTATAATGCAGGTATTAAAGACCATATACAGCAGGCACAGCTAATTTCACAGTATGACATTACATGTTATTACGTGACCTCAGATTCTAACTTGGGTCTGCTTTACAGGTTTTATTATGTCATGGATTTACATTTAGCAATGTGGTTTTGGTTGGGGTAGAGTTCATTCTTTTCATAGGATCTGGTATGAAGATTTATGAGCTAGTGTTTTGGATTTATGATAGAAACAGTGTTGATAATGCAGAGATATTTCCATTACTGCTGAGCAGTGCTTACACAATGTCAAAGCTTTACTGCTTCTCACCCCACCACTGAGTGGGCTAGGGCTGCTCAAGGAGTTGTGAGGTGATACAGTTGGGACAGCTGGCCCCAAGTGACCACAGTGATGTCCCACACCATACGGTGTCATGTTTGGAATATAAAGCTTGGGATGAAGAAAGAAGAGGGAGACATTGAGAGTGATGGTGTTTTGCCTTCCCAATTCACCATTACACTTGATAGAGTCTGGCTTTCCTGTAATTGACTGAACATATGCCTGCCCATATGAAGCAGTGAATATTTTCCTTGTTTCTCTTTGATAGTGTGCAGCTTCTACTTTCCCTATGAAACTGTCTTTATCTCAGCCCATGATTTTTCTCACTTTTATTCTTCCAGTTCTCTCTGCATCCTACTGGTGCAAGTGATCAGCCAGCTGGGGTTAAACCATGACAAACATTTAAGACTCTCTTAAAAAATCTTTATCCACACAGCAAGCTTTGAATGTTTTCCACTTAGAGAAAAGTTTTTATCTAATACTTCCATAGCCACCTTCAAGCATCTGGTAACTTGATCCGGCCAAATAATTTCAGAGTTGACAGAACCCAAGTCCAAGCCAATGATTCCAGCTTTCATAGTGGGGCAGCAGCTGCCAAAAATAATCACTGAATCATAGAATGGTCTAGGTTTAAAGAAATCCCAAAGTTATCATCAAGTTCCAACCCCTTTGCCATAGTCAGGGACATTTTCCACTAGACAAGGTTACTCAATGCCCCATCCAGCCTGGCCTTGAACACTTCCAGGGATGGGACAGCTGAAGTTGCTGCAGTTGAGTAGGGTTTTTTTTGGTTTGAGTTGGTATTTGTTTGTTTGTTTGTTTGTTCTTTGGTTTGTTGTTGTGGGTTTTTTTGTGTGTGTGTGGGGGTTAATTTTTTTTTTTTCCTTTAAGGCAGGGGTCAGTTTTGAAGTAAATTACAATTCTCGAGTAATCGATATGTTCCATTCTTATCGTGGTGGGGAGCAGATAGAGGCAAACAGAAACATAAACCATCCTACACCAAATTTACCTGCAGAAAACCAGGACGACGGGGCTGGCACGGGGCGGGGGGGCGGGGAAATTTCCTCTCTGGGGTCCCAGTCTGTTGGCTGCCCCTTTCCCTGTTCCTTCTCTGAAGCCGGCAGAGGAGAGCAGGCGCCCTCGCTGTGCCCGGGAGGGACACCGCCGCATCGCCGGGCGCGGTGCTGCGGTGCCACCAGCTGGTGAGTGGCGGCAGCACGGCCTTTGGTTTGGTGGTTTTGGTTTTTTTTTTGGTTTTTTTTTTTTTTTTTTTTTAATTGTCTGTTGTTTGTGGGTTTTTTCCAATTTCCAATTTTTTAAGGCGAACAACCTGCCTTCTTCTGCAGTGATGGACCATGTGACAAAAGTTAAACTACTGTGCTTCGACAACACAGACAAGAAACGCTCAAATTAACATCGACCCTTCCAGGCATATAAGGTCGGTATAGTTTTGTAGGAAACAAAGTGTTTTCTATTCAGCACAGATGATGGATTTAGAACTGCTTGTACGACAACATAAATAATACAATGAACTACTCCAAAAAAGGTCTGTTAGATCATTCTTTCCAGTAAGCCATTAACTTAATCTAAAGTTCTAGGAAATGCAATGTTCTGAACCCTGACACTCATTGACCAGTGTTTAGCAGTAAATAAAGCAAATCCCATTCCTAAATCAAAATATCAGTTTTAAGCCTGACATGACTGAAATTAGCTCATTTGCATTAATTACAGAAATAGCATTGTGGTAACAATACATTTCCAAACAAGCTTAGAGGGATGGTTTCTTGGCTGCCTGAAGGTACCACAATTGCTGCCAAAAGCAGTGCTCCTCCTGCAGCTCTGGTGCCTTGCACTGGTGATCACACAGCTGCTGACCTGGCTGAGAGCTGTGCAGAGGGCCAAGCCGAGCCCACCCTCTGCACCATCATTTATTCATTAGTGTCAATATGAGGAAATCTGTAGCTTGGGCAGGACAGGAGGGGAAGATTGGGTCATCTTACACAGGCTTAAGCCATCTGGGAAACTACCGCTGAGGTCTTGGAAAATGTGAAGATAGCAAGTGATGGAAGCTCATTAAGACCAAAGAAAAAAAAAAATTATTACTTTTTTTTCCTTCACGTATACTGTAAATATAATTCCTGAAAAGCAGACTTAAAAGTATTATTTCAAATGCATAGCACTTCCAAAAGGACTAGAATTTTCCATTATCTTTAGGCTTGCTTCAGTCCTTAAGTCTCTGGACCAAAACTGACTTTCTTGTGACTTCACCAATGACAGCTGGGACTTCTTTGCATACACTTGCACCAGGGCTGGTGATCCTTCATCTCACCAAGCACCCTCCTAAATCCAGTGCTGCAAACCTGTGCCAAGAGATGCAGGTTATTTTCTGTCTGTGTATGGTGCTGATCCTTTCTTTTGGTTTCACAGTGATAGAAAATTATATGTTGGGTTATGTTAGTCCACAGTAAAAACAAATAATTGCAAGAACAGCACGAGTAGGTCTCAAAATCTTGTGTTCAGCCACTGTTTGCTGTGTAACTGTGATGTCCATATGGCAGAGATGTCATCTCTATACATTGAATAGATGGACAAGCTTCGACACTCTTCTGTCAGGATGGCAGACTCACATGTTAATCTGCTACCATAGACGAAACAACAAATTCCCAGTTCATCACCCAGTTCAAATTAAGCACATGTAATCTCACAGCGACACTCACTACGAACATAGTGCATACACAGAGATACACAGGATGAAAGGAGTGTCCCAAGGAATGCTCAGCTTCCAAAATTAATGTCATGTAGGAGCTCTGAATTTTAATATGGGTCATTATCACCAAGCTCCTGTAACCACTGTTCCAAAAGCAGAGCCTTTTAACTGTGCCATTCTTCTGTGTGCTACACAAGGGGTGCAGGTGGTGTTACAGGCTTTCCAGTTCGTGGCAGGATGGGGGAGTCCCATCAGACTGTGTACTTTATTGGAGGTGGCAGTGGCTTGAAAGATGGAGGTCTGTTCATACTGAAATAGAAGAGAGAAAATGCACTATCACACAAAAGTAGCATAAAAGACAGTTGTAAAATGGTCACAGGAGGAGGTGGATTGGCACTAAGTCATTACAAGAGCACCTGACATTAGCTCTTACATACTGCAACTTCCCTGAGTCTGTTTTATAACCCCAGCACATCCTACCGCTGAGGTCTTGGAAAATGTGAAGATAGCAAGTGATGGAAGCTCATTAAGTCCAAATAAAAATAAAATTATTACTTTTTTTCCTTCACGTATACTGTAAATATAATTCCTGAAAAGCAGACTTAAAAGTATTATTTCAAATGCATAGCACTTCCAAAAGGACTAGAATTTTCCATTATCTTTAGGCTTGCTTCAGTCCTTAAGTCTCTGGACCAAAACTGACTTTCTTGTGACTTCACCAATGACAGCTGGGACTTCTTTGCATACACTTGCACCAGGGCTGGTGATCCTTCATCTCACCAAGCACCCTCCTAAATCCAGTGCTGCAAACCTGTGCCAAGAGATGCAGGTTATTTTCTGTCTGTGTATGGTGGTGATCCTTTCTTTTGGTTTCACAGTGATAGAAAATTATATGTTGGGTTATGTTAGTCCACAGTAAAAACAAATAATTGCAAGAACAGCACGAGTAGGTCTCAAAATCTTGTGTTCAGCCACTGTTTGCTGTGTAACTGTGATGTCCATATGGCAGAGATGTCATCTCTATACATTGAATAGATGGACAAGCTTCGACACTCTTCTGTCAGGATGGCAGACTCACATGTTAATAATCTGCTACCATAGATGAGACAACAAATTCCCAGTTCATCACCCAATTCAAATTAAGCACATGTAATCTCACAGCGACACTCACTACGAACATAGTGCATACACAGAGATACACAGGATGAAAGGAGTGTCCCAAGGAATGCTCAGCTTCCAAAATTAATGTCATGTAGGAGCTCTGAATTTTAATATGGGTCATTATCACCAAGCTCCTGTAACCACTGTTCCAAAAGCAGAGCCTTTTAACTGTGCCATTCTTCTGTGTGCTGCACAAGGGGTGCAGGTGGTGTTACAGGCTTTCCAGTTCGTGGCAGGATGGGGGAGTCCCATCAGACTGTGTACTTTATTGGAGGTGGCAGTGGCTTGAAAGATGGAGGTCTGTTCATACTGAAATAGAAGAGAGAAAATGCACTATCACACAAAAGTAGCATAAAAGACAGTTGTAAAATGGTCACAGGAGGAGGTGGATTGGCACTAAGTCATTACAAGAGCACCTGACATTAGCTCTTACATACTGCAACTTCCCTGAGTCTGTTTTATAACCCCAGCACATCTCCTGCTATTCATTTGGCTTTCTTAGCTTCCACCTACAGTTTTATTTCATTCATGTTTTAAAAGAACCGAACATGGTCCTGATGAACTGTTCAAAATCCTTGCATGGGCCTTTTGCTCACACTGCTCTCTCAAAGTATATTTAAAGACTCATAACTTTTTTGGGGATCAATTTATAAATAAAGGTCCCACCTCAAATTAGTTTAAAAAAAATCCTGGTTTTATCTTTGATATACAGGATTTGCAGTTGAGTTTTAAGAGATTTTTCCAGAATCATAGGTGATTAATTATGTTTATGATTTTTTGAGTATTTTAATAATGTTAGTAAGATTCGAAATAATTGTCTCTTAGATATTGCTTTTACCAGTAGATCTTGGAGTGTTTTAGTAGGGAATCAAACTTTGGTAATAATTACATACTCAATGCTTCTTTGACTGGGATTGATTTTCGGGTAGCCTACTTTCACCATATATTATTCAAAACTCAAATAGAGCTGCCCTAGAAGTACAATTTCATTAAAACATGTCCTCAAGTAACCATAGGAAATGAGAGAGCAAAAGCAGCTGGCAGGGAGGCTAATAGAAATGGGGGGCTCTGGGGACAAAAACTGACTGTAATTTTCCCCTTACACCCTGAAGCTGCACTGCAGCTCTTTTCTTAAAGTTTATTTTAAAGATAACCCACAGAACAGATGAAAGGACTGAGAACATTCTACTTTACATACTGCTGTATGAGAAAAATGGCATTAGTGATCTATGTACTTAAAGGCTTTGTGTGCTATGCGTCGTCTCAAATGAAAAGGTGTAAATCCAAACAGCTGGGTTAGAGTTGGTGCTGCCCTCTGTGCCACCTCTCCCATCCCTGTGGCTCCATTCACTGGTACTCACAGCTCTTTCTGGTACTGACACCATTTCCTGAAGCCTAAAGGTACCAGAGCTCTGCAGAAGAGGAGCAGGACAGCTACGACTGTTGGCCGGGGAAGTGACTGGCTTTGGTGTTCCTCCTGTCACCTGTAAGGGACACATAGAGCTCATCTGAACCCCTCTGAAGAGGGGGGAAATCGGGGCTTGATGCCTGGGGCTCACTGCTCCCTCCCCTGCACAGCGCTGGTGTCAGTGCAGCCCCTCATCACCAGGCTGAGGATCCCAAACTCCGAGCATTGCAGCTTTGATTTATGGACTTAGCCCACTTTTGTTCTGACTGGGTGTGTGAGCTGATTTCAGCCAGCCACTGGCTCACTGGACAAGATTATTTAGGCGCAGCCCAGAGAGCATTTAATCCAAAACCCATTGGCTTTCTCTGTTCCCCTGTGAGCTGCTCTGCAAGAAGCTGCATGTCACAGTGCAGACAGGCACATCTGCCCACCCCAGCCCTCCTCCCAGTGGTTTATTTTTCACTGACACCAGACACCAGACCCTGCTAAAGCGTCTGGCCAAGGGCTCAGCTGCCTTTTGAGGTGAGCTCTTGTCAGCAGCAGAGCATCCCAGTCCCACTCCAGCTGCCTTTCCCCACTGCAGTGCTGGGATTCCCCTCCCCTTCCCCCTTCTGCACAGCCACCCTTGGGGGTGCTGACAGAGGTGACCTCAGGTCCTGGGTATGGAGAAGAAGGAGAGAAGGAGCACAGTCCTCCTCCAGCTGCCAGAGGGTGCAGCAGTGGCCTGGGTGCCAGAGAGATCCATGGGTGATACACCTCAGTGTCACCTCCCATTGTGCTGGCATCACCACCCTGTGCAAGGCTGGCCACACTGGTGTGTTGCCCAGGCTGGGTCTTACCCACCATGGCAACCAGTGCTGTGGCCAGTCCACCATGCTGCATGGGCCATGAGCTTTCCTTGGGGCACAACAGTATCACTGGCCAGATTTTGTTGCTGGAAGAAAGCATGCACTGGAATTTTGCTTGCAGATGGAGGGAGAAAGCTGGAATGCCAAAAGCCTGTGACAACCTGTGGTATGAGGATACAGCAGCTATGACTCCTCTTTTCATCTGTTTTCCCTTATTTTGGAATCCTCTGGTCAAATGTACATGATCCTCCAGGTTTCGTGCTTCTGTAGTGGCATGCTGAAAGAAGAGGATTTGTAGGATAATGTCTCACCAGTTCTGTTCAGCAGGCTGCTGGTAGGAAAGAAATCTTTTCTTCTGGTAACTGAAATTGTCTGGTCTGTGATGCTGTAGGATAGGTCACCTATAAAGATAAGGGCACAGAACATTTTTAGTAACTTAATTTTTTTTTTTAAATGAAAAGTTGTTTTGAGCCCTCTGTTATTCACCCAGATGAAAATTCCAAAGCAGAAATTTCCAGGATCAGGGTGTAAAAATTTTCTTGGCAAGATGCCTACATTTTTGTCTTATGACCTGGTGTTGGATCAAAAAAAAAGTGTGTTTATCAAATGAAATATTATAAGAAGGGAAGGGGAGGGGAGGGGGAAGAGGAAGGAAGGAAGGAAGGAAGGAGAGCAGTAGAGCTGTCTGTGAGAATTATAAGCTTTTTACTTCTTTGATAGTAATGAGAAACATAAAGATGTTAAGTGGCTTGGCAGCAACTTAGAGTCTGCCTTTGTCGTGACTGAGCAAAACCTCAGTCTCCTCTGTCAAGTACTGTTTGAACCACAAAAATCATCTATCATCTGTTTATAGACAGTTTTTTTTTCCCTTCCTACTGATGCTTAAGATCAGTGATCCATAAGGACACATTTCTGTTTTTTCTAGCCATCTCTGCATTCACAGCTTTTGAAATAATAGTTAAATACACAACTAGACAATGGCACAGCATTTCCAGAGCTCCCATGGCACTTCTGATGTGGGGATTCAGTGGTGGAATCATTCAAATTTGTACAAAAAGAAATAATGACCTTCAGTTATCTTACAAGCCTGTACATGACTACTTCATTAGGCTCTACTGTGGCTATTTTGGACTCTTTGACTTTCTCTGATGCACACAACGAATGAAACAACAGAAGAACCTTACAGTCTCTGATAAAAGTGCTGATTTATAAATCCAAGACAAAACCCCAGCTTTAAATGAAGTAAATAACTAACCAGACCAAGAACCAAGAAAATCTCTTTAGTGTGAGATGCTTGCTGGCTTTGGCTGAAATTGAGTGTTCAAGAGTATGTGTGTGTGTGTGTGTGTGTGTGTGTGTGTGGTGTGTGTATGTATGTGTGCATTAAAAAGATGTATGAAAATCAGTTCACTTTACGGCACTCTAAAAATTCACTGAGATTTTTGGATATTAATTCAGTTTTTTTCTACTTGCTTATTAGGTGTTTGATTTTATGTGAATAGGTATGACACATCTTACATTTGTAAAATGCATGGCATTTTACAAACTTATATGCAAAAAAAAAGGATATACACTTAGGGATCCGATAGCACTGTGCTCTATACAGCACATTGATGAGCACTATTTATTCTTATTTACATTATGGCTTATGTTAGAGCATCCCAAGACCACAATGATAATGGTAATCATGTTGTTGGAGCCCAGTGGCCCTGGGAGGGCACAGGGATACATGTGTATGCCTCAGCAGACTCACTGGTGCCTGTGTGCTCTGAAACTGCCCTCAACTACAGCTGCTGGACCAAGGACCCTTCAAGGCTATTATATCTTAGCTGGTGTTCAGGCAGGCACAGGTGTAGGGAAGCAGTGGCAGGGATATGGGGATGAGTGGAGCAACACAGACTATCCCCTGCAAATAGTAGAGTAATTCAGCATGCTTTTAGAAAAAAATGCAACCAGCAAGCTGTGGAAGAGCAGAATTATGAAGCATTAGAAGCTGTCAGAAGGTTCTGGTATAAATGCATTGTTGTGGGTGCTACCAAAAATACATTCACAAAATGGAAAGCGGCTGCTACATTTGTGCTTCAGCCAAAAGACAGCTCCCATGGAAATACAAAAGCACATTGACAGGTTCTGCCTGTTCCAAAAGCACAAAGGCAAACCAAGATGTTAAATAAACAAGTCACTTTGGGCTTTATACTGCTGAGTAGAGATTTTCTAAAGGGAAAGACTAGTGAAAAAATGTTCACCCTAGGGGTTTTTTAATTGATTTATTGATCTTTAATGAGGCTGTCTTTAAATGTTCTATTTGCCAGCCTTTATTACTCCACATTATCTCATTATTTCACTGCTGCTCTGCAATTTTATTTAGCTTCTCTGGCAATTTATTTCATCCATAAACTACCTTCAGCACTCACTACATTTGCCTAGCAACTATCTCAATTGTAATATTATGAAAAGAAATATGTCTAATGAAACCAGGATACGGAAATGTTTTTTCATTCCTCCTTTGCCACTGCAAATCCTTGGCAGCTTGGAAAACCCAAGCCTTGATCTTCTAACTCAGTGGAACTCAACAGGGAAATTGCTTCTGTGAAGTATTGAAAATCTGGTACACGTTACTCCACATGACTTTGGCCTTTGATCAGAGACAACTTTTCTATGCTTAGTAATAATTTTTGCATGGTAATGTGGTGACTCTCAACTAGCAGCTGAAAATAAGCACCACAGAACTAATGCTCTGAGAGAAGGCATCACAAATTGAGGACCTGCTGCTGTGGGTTTTGCAAGATGCTCCAGATTACTGTAGGTTTGCAACCCAGCATTCACTAAGCTGATGCCTCATTTGCACTTTGGCTACATCAACTCCTCTGTTGCAGTCCTGTGAAGCAAAGAAGATGAGTTGTCTACTCATGTGCTGTTGTCAAAGTCTTGCAGAATGCTGTGGCACTGGTATAGCCTTTTGCCTCTGTGGTAGAAATTAGCGCTCCTGCTGAAAAGCACAAAGGCTTGTAAAAATTGCTGTAGGGAACCATATTATTTGTTTTTCATTTCTCTCCCCTCTTTCTTCCCTGTTTTCTGACTAATGAGGTCAAACAGCTGTAGCCCACCACTCAAGATGCTGGCTTCCTTCAGACAGGCATTACCCAATGCTGTGTCTGGTTTGAAAGCTAGAAACTGAAGAGGACTTTTACTGAGATAGGAAAATAAACTTAGACAGAACATTTGAAGCATTTTTGTATTTCAGCTTAGTTTCAGACAAACCTCAGGAGCTTGACTGCACTGGCTGGTTTCGACCTGAAACCAGTAGAGCAGTGAACAAACATACATAAATCAGAATTTAGACAGGATGTCACCAGCTCCAGTGAAATAGAACTGTTTTCCCAACTATCAAAAGGAAGTTCTGAAAAAGTTAGAGTACTAGAGTCACACCTGTAATGTGTGATGCCAAATACCAACTTATTTGACATTTTCCTTTAAGCGTTTTTTTAAGTGCTAAGATTTCTAGAGCTCAGCTAGGTATTTGTCTGATATTCAAACACAGACAGATGGTGGCTAGCATGTAGGCCTTCATTTTCCCAAGAGAACTATTTAACATTTACTAAAAAGAAACCATATTTCTTAACAACTGTCTCATTCTGGAAAAATATCAAGCCATCTGAACAAACCTGCAGAGGTGAACTGCAGCTGTAACTGATCACTCAAAGCCTAAGCATCTCTGGCTCAGTGACGGAGCAGTTGTAGAAACCAAGCAAAACCAGGCTACAGTTTTAGCAGCCTTGGTTTTGCTTCCTCTCTTCCTCTTCTTGCCTCTATATGTGCACTCTTGTCTCATATCCATTCTCAGCCATCTCCTAGATTTTCACTTGCAAAATAACAGGAACTGAACCAAACCTAGACTTCTGTAGACTAAAACAGAAGGCTTGGCCTTGGTGTCTTGTCTTGACTGCAGCCCAGAGGACTTGCTCAAGAAGCTGATCTTGAGCCCACTGGTGGCACCAGTGTGAGGACCATTAGTGAGCCAGAGAGAAGTGCTAACCCAGGGCTGTCATACCATAACTGGCACATTTTGGGACCACTGGTTAAAAGGCAATTGCTTCCCGGGCTACCTGCAGAAGAAAAATGGCTCAGATCCATCTTACATTACAAGTTTGACCTCATACCACCTTAACCAAGGAAAATGTGTAATTCAGCGAGGATAAACCCTCTCTCTTCACATTGTTTATGTTATGCCTTTGTTGTGAATTTTTTTGTTGAGATGGAAGGGCTTTCAGTCCACTTGGACAAGCAGCTTTGCTGTTCTGCCTTCAGCCAGGCAAGTGTCTCTGTTTTGGGGATGGGGAAGGCAGTTTGAGAAGCAGCAATCTTTCATTTCAGCACTGCTGCAATCTGTGTTCCTGCCTTGGCATATCTCAGTCAAGCCTTTGCAAGCTCCTGGGCTTTACATTGAGTGATTCAGCTCCCAAAGAGCACTCTTTAGGGAAGGCCAAAGCCTTGTGTTTAGTATCTTCGTCCAGTGTTCTATTTAGGCTTGATATTTAACTAAAGACAGTAGGTGTTCTTCATAAACACTATAATAACACTAATTAACTTCTTTGTAAACACTAATAACACTCAATGTCTGTTCAGTTGCCAAAATTAATGAATGTATCCTAAACAGAGCATTAAAAAAGATAAAACCAAGACCGTATTTCCTCATATATTTATTCCTGAACGGTGGTTACACTGACAGTAGTTAGTGTAACCAGTAGTTAGTGTGTAAAGCACTAGGAAAAGAACTTCAATGGACATTACATTTCTTTCTTGCTTAAAAAAAATAAGATAGCTATTGTGTTTATGTGTCTTTTTATTACATTGTTGAAACAATAGAGAAAACAGTTTGATTCAATTGATTACCTTTTGTTGTGGCAGCAGGAGTCAAATTTGCTGGACTTATGAAATCCAGAGAGGCTACAGATGTCGACTGGTGCTCTAAAGACAATTAACATGGTATCACACTTAGTCAATAGGTTCTTCAGAAAATAATGTTAATAAATCACAAAACAACCTAGATCGAAGAGCTTGCAGTAGCTGTTGGGTAAATGCAGACTGAGCAGCAGAAATCCTGCTGTGGGAGTTAAGGCTAAATGCTCAAAGCACAAATCCAGTGGGCACTTGCAAGGCAGCTGATGCTATCAATGCTGACCCTTTTCTGCTGGCTGGCTGCAGGCATTGCTTATTTGTGCTTCTATACACAGGGTTTGGTTTAACTGCTGTGGGGTGGATTGTGGACTTGAATGTGGTGCTCCCCAGCTAAGCCAGGGCCTTGCCAAAAATCATCCATGACAACAGGCCACAGCCACATCAGCCCAGGAGATCACCTGCTCTCGTGAGTTTTCCTCTCAATTGCTGAAGATAGTTCTATGTAATTATCCAAATCCATGTTCTGGTAAAACAGTTCGTTATATAATTAATGAATGGGAATGATGCCCTGCTGTTGGGTCAAGGAAAAGTGATGGCTTTAACTTTTCTATCATATGCACCTCTCTGTCACAATAGGACAAATTTAGTTACAGTTTTATTGGCAAATGATTCAATTTTATAAAAATATGTAAGAATGATATATAATATTCAGCATGCCATTTAACATGCTGTCCTAACATGGCAGTTTTAGCAAGATTTCTGTCAGATGTCTGCTTGGGTGACCTCACAGTTCACAGGTTCACAAGCAGCAGCACATTGGTGCTGTCAGCACCAGCGCATATTGACCTTGCCTGTCACACCTCTGACTCTGGGTGCATGACATTTAGGCAGTGGAGCCTCACAGCTCACAAGTTCCCAAGGAGCTGTCAGTATTGGTGCCGTCAGCACCAGCACATATTGACCTTTGCCTGTCACACCTCTGACTCTGGGTGCATGACATTTAGGCAGTGATAAAGTACAGATCCTACATATATTGAATAAGTAATATTTTCCTGTAGCAGGCCCAGGGCCCGCAAGGCCTCCTTGGAGGTCAGAAGCCTGAGTTAGGAAATGCCAAGTCATGATGACGGGGTGTTAGAAGCCCCTCTCTTCCACCTTTCGGACTCTGCTTATCTTATAGATCGCTTTCCCTTGACCCTTACTATTGGACAATTTCCAAAACCCCTGTAAGGCAAACCCCTACTTCTGCCTGGTTTGGCAGAAAAGCTGTCACTGAGAACCTTCGTAGACCAATAATGAATTCTTCGGAACCTCACACAGCACTTCTCCTCTCTCTCCCGGGCGTTTGCAGCGACACCTAGCAAGCTAAAGAGCTGAAATCACAAAGATCTGATAATCACTAAGAGCTGATATCACTATATCTTGCTTAGGTTGCCTGTGGCTGGGAGCTGCTTGGGAAATTGGATGCTGTGCTGAGCACCACTGAGCTATCCTGGCCACAGCAGCCCATCGGGCATAGCCTGGCTGGAAGCCACCTTCAATATTTTCCCCCTTGCCTGAGGCTGTCATGACAGCTGATGTAAGTGTTGAATTACCGAAGTCTATAACAAATCAAAGTAATCATTCAGCATGGCAGCCCATCGGGCATAACCCGGCTGGAAGCCGCCTTCATTATTTTCCCCCTGATATGAGTGTTGAATTACCGAAGTCTATAACAAATCAAAGTAATCATTCAGCATGAAAAAGGTGTTTGTTCTGCTTTAGGAAAGTGGATGATTGAAAGGTTCAGGAGCAAGAAAGTGTATCACACCTAAATTCCAAATAATATTTCCATGTGCAACTCAGACAAGTAGTCCAGAAGGAAACACAAAATACCTGACGTAACTGTGCTGAGAAATCCCTAGAGAAACAAAGGTTTTGGGGAAAAAACTTTGGAGCCCTTGGCGCCTCAACTTAAAAACCAGAAATGAATCACATGGGTTTATTCCATACAAAGAGATGCACCATATTAGCACAGATGCTGAAACAACATTTATGACCTGGTGGGGGCACCTGCACAGTTTCATACATGAGGCACTTCAGATGCTGCAACTCTGAGCGGAAATTTCAGAGACACTCTGCACTGAAACATGCTCACTGAGTCCTCAGAGAAGGAGGAGGAGGAGGCATTATTCCTTCTAATTAAAAACTGTTAACCACACAGGCAAGCTCAGCAGAGACACCATCCTGCCTAAGCAGACCTAGATGTCTGTTTTCTTTCCTATTTTTTCCCAGCAGGAGAGGCAAAGTACTTCCTGAGTGGGCCAGGAGGATGGATAATGTCCCCCTCAAAGAGGTCCATGAAGGAACTGATCACACATTTCATTAGAAAAATATACCTGGGAAGGCAGCCAGACAGTACCTCTGTCTCGTCAGGCACGTGTAGAGGGCATTGAGTGGCACTGCAGACTGGATCTTAGCATAGGCAGGTGACCATCCACCCTCCAGCTGCTTTTTTGTGCTAATACTTGTACCTCCTGTGACTGCTGCTCTTTCATTTGCATTTCAGCTTAGCCTTGCCTGCACTAACAGGGATTTCACAGTAGCTGGCTGACATAAAGGACTCCTTACCAAAAATGCAACAGGTCTAAAAACCAGAGCAGTGTGGCTCTTTGAGATGTGCCTGGCTCCCAGAGGGTTCTGCAGAGTGTGCAAGACAAAGCAGGGTGGTGGCCTGATGTGAGCTGCTAGGCTTCCTTTGAGTTCACCTTGCAGAGGCCAGCAGAGGAAAAATAATCCCTCTCTCAGGGCCCCCAATATGTGGGATGCTTTTCTGTGGGGTATTGGCTGAGCCCCCAGTGCTACAACCTGCACTTGCTGAAGTTTTTCACAAAACCCATACTTTTTTTCATGCCATCTACTTACAGCATTTCTCTGACAAACTCATGTAACCCCCTGCTACATGCTGCCTCCCATGCAGAGCAGAGGAAAGCAAACTGCTTCAGGAGAGATGTTTCCAAAGGGATTCAGCTGAGGTGTGGAGGGAACATTTATCTGTCTGCAATAAGCTGATAGTAAGACAAACTTGCAGGGGAAGAGCTGGGATTTACCAAATTTACACAAATTAAGAAACATTATATCAGTTCTTTAACATGGCAAAAATGTTGAGGATCTTGGCTCTGTGCTTAAACAGAAGGTAGAGCCATTAGCAGGGCTGTTATTTTTACTTACTAGTTCAGTACTGAAAGAGCTATATTCAGATGCCAGCTGAAGCATCAGAAATAACATTAAATGCCTCTCAAGGATGGAGTTTAAGTATGCTTGGTCTTAATTATAATAGATTACATCACCAAAATATTGGTTTATAGTATTTTCTCTGAAGTCAAAACTGCAGAAAGGGGTTCCTTACTACCCATTTAGAGTAGTAAATGCTACAACAGCTTTAGGACTTTATAAACACACCTCAAACACAACCCAGGTTATTTTATTCTCTAATTTATACTACCATCTGAAACCGTGGTAGCAAAAACTTCAGCTGAGGCTTCATTAGACTTATTGTCTGTGATGGGAGAAAAAAGAGAAAGATTAATGCAGTTCTTAAAAGTAGTTATAAAGGCTGAAAATTTAGTTTGGGCTTGTGTCATATTGTGCACCTCTGCAGAAGGCATGGCTGAGAATTAATGTAATTCTTTCCTTTCTGTCACATCTAAATACTTTAACATTTTTATACAGAGTGGATCTATCTTAGCATTAGCATAGCCTGCAGGCAAGAACACAGACTGCTTTGACTGACAGCTCTTCGATATGAATAAATTTTCTAGAAAACAGAAAATTGGGGGAAATAAGTAATTTTTGAGAAAAAAATTACGATTTATCTCCCTCCCTTCTGAAGTTATGCTTCCAGAGGAGTAAGCTGTGCCTTTTGCTGCAGTCTTACTTTGTGGAAAAACATATCAATAGGAATATACACAGCCACAAGAGAACTCAGCTGAGCTGCAAATAGTTGCCATGGTAGGTGACATATCCCTAGATGCTGCTAAGGGGTCAGCAGCTCAGTTTTTTCTGTGCAGCAGGGAGCATGCATATTTAAAAAAAAAAAAGGTATAAATATGCATTTGCACCTAAGAGGAGACATGCACAAGAGGGTGCTAAAGGAAATCTGTCTGCCCTTCTCACCAGTCACCCTGCATCATCAGAGGTACTGAAAACTACCGCCGAGTCTCCTGCTTTTACCAAAAAAGCAGGACAATATTTCTCCCCACTTCCTTAATCATGTAGCTAAATCTTACAGTACAGATTATAAAGGAGTTTCTTCATTATCCATAGAGGTGCAGCCTTTTGCAGGTTTTACTGAAGGTGTATAACATAGCCCTGAGTCTGAGGATTTGATTTCTCAGGAAGCCACGAGTGCTCCATGAGAAACACATAATTATAATAGCTCACTGGTGCCATGTGGCTGTGCTAAGAGTATCTTTGGGTATGGGAAGTACAGCAAGATTCTGGTTAAACAAATAAGTGTCTTCTGCTTGTGCAGAAGTTTCTTAGCTCATTCAGAGGCTTGAGCAAATATTTCAGCCAAAAAACCTGCCAGAGAGTTCAAACTGTGTGATGAACTTGTACAAAAAAGCTTTTATACTATTGGCATTTCTTCAGTATTTTAAATAACAAGAGAATACATGTGTTTGGTGTTCTTAACATTTTAGATGTGTCCTATCTAAGAAAAATCTACCAAAGGAAACAAATATTTCTTCAGATGATATATTCCTTGTTTCATTTTCCGGGAAGGGAAACAGACACACATGAGAATTTCTGACGTGTCTTATGGGTCCCACTGTATAGATCAGTGTTAATCTAGGCAGTTGTTAGGTTACATATACACACACACACAGAGATATATATATATGTATATATGTTAGGTGAGCCTCTGACATTTCCCTTCTGGCTGCCAGCTTCCAAACTCCTGTATGGACAGTGCTTGCTTACTCCCAATCCTGCTCTGGACGGAAGCACTTGCTTTCTCCTTATTGTGTTTCTTGCCCCCTCCCCTCATTTTTCTGATTGCAGACACTGTTGAATGAGAGCCCAGGGACAGCCCTGTTGCCCTGGGTGTAGGGACTCCAACTCCCTCCAGTCCTGTGCTGTGGCTGGAGAGATGTAGAGTGACCCCCACTCTCCTGTGCCCACTCTCCTGCTCCCAGTGACAAACACTCACATGGAAAAACACCGGAACTGGTAATGGGCACAGTGTGTGTGATGAGAATAAGACACTTTCTGATTGCCATGTAAATCCTTTCTTCATTAGGCAGCTAAAGAGACAATTCCTATGAAAAAGACTGCCTAGCCCAATGATATGTTGAATATAAAAAAGAGGATGCCTTTGTAGCAGACAGAATATGCCATTTCCAGAAATCACAAGTAGATACTTTAGATGCAGTAGTCCTGGTTATATGCCAATTGTTCCAAAGATCTGTGTTTGTGCTCTGTTTAATTTCTCAGCAAACAATAGATGGGCAGGACATCAAAGTCAAGGCTAGGTGAAGGGTTGGACACTAGCAGGGTGAGAAGTCTCATCCTCATGCTGCCCAGACATTCCCAAGTATGTTTATTTAGCAGGTTATGATGCTGTTAAGTACTAAACACTGTTATAAGAGAAATGGCCTTGTTCATTTCAAGAGAAGAAAAGAGCGTGTGCTACTCATGCAGCACAAACCTCTCTTGTTCCCTCATTCAAAGAAAGTGGTTCCCACATTAAGTTGGAAGCAAGCTTGATGTATTGAAGCCAGCAGAAGTCAGTCATTCAGTATGAAGACTGAAACTATCCAGCTGAAACTCTTTCCCTGCCATGGTAAATAACACCTGAGCTTGTAGTGTAATTGCTTTCTCCTATTTTCCTCTTCATTATTCCCTTATTTTTCAGGCACTTTTATATCATAATACTTTATCAATTCTTCCTATGAAGAAATAGACATCTGATATCCTCACTAGATTTAAGCCCTGCAAAAAAAGGCAGAAAAGAGAAGTAAAGAAGTCAGCGTTTGTTTGGAGATGAAGAACAGACAGAGGCTCTTGAGGGAGTTTCTATTTCCCAGTCCTGTGATAGCACGCATCCTGTGCTCTGTTCAACAGGACAGTGCAGACAAAAGCCTGCAATATCCAACACCACACCCAGAAACAGGTCACCAGGAAAATTATACCAGTTTGCAAAACCAACTGACTCATGGATTGTGTGGAGTGGGTGGTTATGGATAGTACAAAGTTCTGCCTGCCCACAAGCTCTGTTTCCAAGGAAAACCTTCTTGATTTGAGATTTACTTGCAGCTCAAAAGGTTTAACTTGGAGAGATGGAACAGGAACAAAGCACCATAGCTAATAGCCAGAGAGGCTTACTAGTCAGTCATATAAGCCATAAATATGTTTTATACAAAGCATGGGTAGTGCAATTCAGCAGGCTTTTAGGTTTTGCTGTTACCAAAACTGAAACAGAGGCCCACACAGCAGAGGAGGTAACTTGGAGAGATGGAACAGGAAGCAAAGCACCATAGCTAATAGCCAGAGGGGCTTACTAGTCAGTCATATGAGCCATAAATATGTTTTATACAAGGCATGGGTAGTGCAATTCAGCAGGCTTTTAGGTTTTGCTGTTACCAAAACTGAAACAGAGGCCCACACAGCAGAGGAGTCCTTAGAAGTCCCTGGTTTGTGCCCACTGCTGTGGGGGTGGCAGTCGCTCAGAGGAAAGGGTGTGAGCACCTGGTGTTAACTCAATGCCTTGTCTGTCTGCTGCCCTGCAAGCTCTGTCAGTTTGGAGGATGCCTCTGTCCTGGGTTGACTATATGATGCTTTTATCTCAAATCGTCTTGTTCTGTTTATACTGAATAATAAGTTTTACACCTTTAAGACTCTCTTAAAGGTGTAAAACTTAAAGTCTTAAAGGTGTAAAACTTATTATTCAGTATAAACAGAACAAGACGATTTGAGATAAAAGCATCATATAGTCAACCCAGGACAGCCTCCTATGCCTGATTCACCTTGCTGGGGTGGCATGGTGGCAGTCACAGGCATCACTCTTTGCTCCAAAATTGCACACCTCCTGTGAGGTGCTGGCCGATCCCTCCTCCAGGCTAATGAAGATCTCAGGGTAAGCTGGAAAGCAAACATAAATGTATTAGTGAAATGGACACTGCAGATCACAGTAACAGCTTCTAATAACACTTAACAGCCTTCTATTGTAAGAAGAGTGGAAATTAAATCCTACCTCCAGCCACACATCAAGCAAGATAAAAGTGTTTACAGCTGCAATTTGAGGTCAGTGAAATGGTTTACAAGACTATATCACCATCTATTGCCACAGGATCCAGGATACATTTCACTGCCTACCTCAACTAGACTTGGGTGGCTTTGCTGGGGAAACAAATCGAAACCATCCTGCAGTCACAGCTCCAGCAGCAGAGCCACCCTTCCCGGGCCCCATGAAATCCCACATACCCCTGTTCCTGCTTCCTCTGTGTGCTTGCCAAAGGTATCTCCAAAGGCTTTAGTCATCCCCCAAATGTTGATTGATTTTGGATGTCAGCTACCCAGATGCTGTTGCCTGGACAGACGTGTGACAGTGTCCCCACAGATTCTTCTTGCCTTGCCAGGAAGCCCAGAGCTCGCCCTCACAGCAGAGCAGCAGGGCACTGATGACCACATCCACATGAAACAAAAAACTGTTTTCTTCTGGTTTTTGCAGCATTTTGGTTCTGAGCACAGCTGATTGTATAAATTAAAGCTATCAGGTACCCTAAGCCTCTCTAAACTGCATTTCCAAATTAGCCATTGGGATGTCTGGTTTGGAGCAACATTGGCTGACTTGTTAAGTAAGGACTATTGAAACTGTGTTAATGTATAACAAATCTCAAAAGCTTCAGATAAATTTGGCTTCTGGCCCTTTCTGAGACCTGAAACTGGACTGGAAACAAATGCTCTCCCTGAATTACTTAGGAGGTCCTAAATTCTTTATCTTTCCAACCTAAACTTCACTTTAATCTCTACCATTAAAATAATTTTCTATTTTTCTTTCCCTGTTAATTGCTATAGGACTACCTCAGTTAATTACAATCCCCCCTGAGGTGAACTATCTAAGTTTCCCTCTTTTAAATAGCTAATCCACCAAGGACTCTCCTGACTTTATTTTAAATTTCCATTTTTCTGCCTGATGTTACTGATGGATTCTGCCTGGGCATGACTTACATTTAGTTATCATGGCCTTCTGGTTTTCTGGACTTATGGTAATTTTTTTTAGTGGAATTTCCTGTTTTTTTAAATCTCTTCTGGGTTTTGAATTTTTCTGCTTTTTTGGAGGGTGGGGCAGGGGTTATAGATTCTTCCTATCAGGAAATGAGTGTCCTAAGATTTCATTCCTTCTTCTTTGCTAAAACTGTACAGATGGTAGTGGAGCTGGCAGAAGACAGAGAGACTTTTTCAGATGCAGGGAAAAGTCTGGTAAACTGGATCCTCTAATTGCTGTAGAAGTTGGCTGGGAGGCTAAATGATGTCTGGTCTAGTGCATTCTCTTCCTTTTGTCTTTTTCATGAGAATGGGTATGCTTTGCCACACCTGTAATTGAGCGCTGTCCTCTGCTTTCTCAGATGTGTTTGCTGGGTTGCTGTTCTGGCAGGCAGCTTTCATGCAGAGCTCTGAATGGTCTAATAGATCTTTTCCAATTAACATCTCAGCCCCTGTTAACACTTTGACATTAATTTGTCTTGCTAGGATATTTACCAACGTTTTGGATCTAGCAGAAATTCAATATTTAGTTCAGTAGTTTCTGCTGTTAAGCTTTTACTCTTACAAAATACTATATTTTCTTCCTCAAACCAGGTCTTATAAGCTCTCGGAGGAATACAAAACACCCAAGATACCTCAGCTACCTTTGGAGGCATAAAACAAGCAGGATGTCTTCTGTTGCAGTGTTGGAAACAAAAAGGTTTAATAAAAGGCAAAATAACAAACAGAAAAAACTGAGCCAGGTGCAACAGATCTGCTCCTGGTAAAAACACTTCACAAAAGCCCCTAGTTCCTTTGTTCTCTTCTTTTTCTACCCAATTAGTCAGAAAATTTGTCAAATTAGGACTTTTTGGCTTCTATCCAATTAGCTGCCCTTAAGTTTGAGGTGAAGTCCCTGAGGTCCTATGAGGTGGCTTTTTACCTAATCCATAAGAGAAACTTCTGGGCTTCTTTCCTTTTTAGGGAGACAAAGCATAGTTTTGTCACTCTGTCAACAGGAGGCACACTCCTACACCAAAAAGGAGAAATCAATATTTGGCAAAGTTGGACATAAAAAGGCCATACCTTTTCACAGTATCTTGTATCTAAAAGAACTCTATTCTAGAAGAGAAATATTTAAAAGTATTTCAATCCAAAAGTACCCTCTTAAAAAAAGCTATCTTGATTGAATGTCTGTTTTTACCCAACATACCAAGACTCTCAATTTCCTTGAGAGATCTTTTCATGCCTTCTCCATTCTCTCCGGTTCAATTCTCAGCCCCATTCGGCCACCTCAAGCAGCTGTGAGGGAAAACCATTTGGCACTCCTCAGACTTGGCCTGCCTCTGCTGTGTTTAGCCCTGCCTGAAGTATTTTCCAGAGGGATCCTGCATGAGGAGTTTCCCACAGACACCTTCTCAGCCTCCTGTCCCTTTCAGCTCTGTGCTGCGATAGCTGCCTGCCCTCCCTGCCCTACTTTTAAGCCACCCAGCCTGAGGGGTTCAATTGCATGAGTGTTTGGGTGACAGGGGTAATGCTGGCTTGCCAAGATGGGAAAACCTGCACAGGTTTCCACTGGGCTTTTTCCCTAGCTGTGCCCTTGCTAATGGCCAGAAAGACAGATATAATCAACATTATATCTGCTGTTGACTTGTATGCATATACTATCTTCAGGTTCTGTCCCACCCATTTGAGGCTGGATCTAACTGCCAGAATACAAATATTCATTTCTTTATGAATATTTGGAACAAGGAACAAGAGAGGTGCTGCCATCTGAAAGAGCTCTTTGTCCCCAGATGTCACCTAGAGAATGCTTGGATTATCTTGGGCAGTGTCTCTGCCAGTGCTGTGCAGGGATATGGGCTGGCTCGGGGCACAAGGGAGTACATGGAGATAGTCTGGGAGGGTGCAATCAAAAGTGGCGTGACTTCAGCAAATGGTAACAGGAAAGTGTGAGACAAGATGCAAAATAGTTATTTCACCTGCAAAATTCAGACATGAAAGGGCTAGGAGCACATTTCCTCCGAGTGGTGGACTTTACTTATCTGAGGTCTAAGAGACTTTTTTCCTCAGTACCCACTGCAAACCTCAAGGCTCTCAGGGAGCCAGCTCTGCCCTTGAGACCCCTGCGAGAGAGGCTGGTGGCACAGTGCCCTGGTCCAAAGTCAGCCAGCACCTACGGGGAAATGCAGACTGTTCACCACCAAGGGCCACAGCTGCTTTCTCCAGTTTGCCTCTCTACCCTCCTGTACTGATATTTTGATGTGGGTTCTTGCATAGCTAAGCACGTATCTCTCAGTAATTCAGAGAAAAAGCTAAAAAAAGCAACCTCTTAGTAAGAGATACACAAATCGAGGCAAGAGCATCAGCAGTGATGGAAGAGAGAGTTCAAGTATATTAGTGTCCTTTAATGATTACCCAGGTAACACTGTTGCTATTTCAGACATGTTGATTTCAAAAAGTGTCTGAATCATGCAAACGCAAGAGGAGGTTTCAGATCATTAACGTCTATTTTTATTTCTTTTACCTCAGTGACCAACAGCCCTCAGACACATTTTGGTTTTTTTCAGCTGCTCCCTGTTGAACTTTTCTTTGAATTCAGAGCATCAGCCTTGAATGGCCATGCCATCCTCAAGCTGTGGGCTTCCTTGGACAATCAGCTACAGTCAAGGGCCTAAACACAGGCCCAGTGTCTAACTCTCATTTACTTTCAAAGCTTTGGAAATATGTTTTCCTGACCAGCTGATATCTAAAGAGAAAATAAAGCCTGGTTTTCAAGTGGGTAGCAATTTTCTGATTCAGTTAGTGATAAGCCACTTGAAATGGAACAAGGCAAGTAACTAAAAATGGGAAAGGCTTACAAAATCAAATGCCAGCCCACATGTTTGCAGTACACAGGCTCTGCCACTCCTGGCCAATTTGAGACCCCCACCGGGACCCTCATTTCCTCATTTTGGCAGCAGTTGAATGTCACATGCGTTTGAGGATGTGATTTTGCTACAATTGTAGTCCCAAACTGCTTACTAAATTATGGCCATGATTTCCTGACCACAGACAGCATGGTTATTGGGACATGGAGATCTTGATGATCAGTGTGCTTCCCTGTAACCCACAGAATCCCAACATAAGCCTATACATCAGGGTAGATTATTGCCATGTGCATCACAGTGTGCATATATGAACCTACTATTTTTTCTTGCCAGAAACTGAAGGAAGGGACTAAAATTCTTCTAAGAACTCCAGGGTTCACTACCATTTACTAATATTTTATGTCATTGCAGCTGAAAAAAATGACAAGGTGAATATGTTTACATTTAAAGATAACTCAGTATTCAGAACCAGGCAGGAGTGTCACCTTTCCAAGTGCAAGGCAGTTGGCATAAGCCCCTTACCAAATGCTCTCACAGTGGTGCTTCTCTTCTGGACTCTCTCTGGGTGGTACAGCATGTGGCAGGAAAAGATTCTGCCATCATCAGTAATTTTGGTGGGGAAAATCTTTAGGGCATTGCTCAAACCCAGGAGGACTGCTTGCCCATACGGCATCCTGCTGTTCCTGTACACAGCAGGACAGGAGAGCTCCTTGGTCACAATTTCCTCTTTCCTCCCATTTTCATCCTGTGTACAGAAAAACCAACAAAATTGTGAAGTTCGGACACACACACAGAGAAATGTTTTTGTAAGCAAGCTCTATTCCCACTATGAAAAGCTTCCCTTGCACATTGTGTAGCAGCAATATTTGCAACATCTGGGGTTTTTTTTCCCAAATATATTCTCTCAGAATTTCAATACCAAGAGCAGTCGTCATCTTGACAATAAAATATGGAATAAATAGCTGTGTCTTGTGAGTTCTGATCTCTGTATCCTGCAGAGAGAGCAACACAGGTGCTTTCTCACTGCACCAGTCTTTAAGTTATGCTGAACATCCCATACATATTAAATGCAACTGAAATTTCAAGGAAAACTTTGCTCTTTTAGAATTTTAAGTAGAAAACCCTGATAATAATAACTAAAATTTATCTATCTCTCTTATTGTCTGTGTGGCAGCCGCCCTTCGTTATAAGTACAGCCAACATGTCCTGGACATCTGTGCTTCAGTACATATTTGCAAGTTTTACTCTGTACGATGCCTGGCAACCCACATATATAATTGTGCTGATCTTTGGGGGTTTTTTCTCCTTTCCTCTGCTACTTTGTAGAGTGAACCAGCAAAACTGATGTAGTAAAGGTAAGGGTGTTCCCTACAAAATGATTTAAAATTTTAATTTTAAGAATGACCTGCAGAAGGGAGATCTAAATAGATAATGAACCAGGACAGAAGGTTTAAAAACCTACACTATATGAAAATCACCTTTAAGGAAATCCTCAACAGTTACAGCTTCTCAGTGACAACATATATAAATGAACAGGAAAAGCTCAAGGACACTGCTCACTGATACTTGTCTCTACACACTGAAATGAATGCTAAAAGGTTGCATTAAAACATACATATAAATATTTATCCAGAAAGTGAGACGAAGTACAAAAATACAGCAAGCTTTGTATCTGACAGAAAATTGCTTAAAACCAGTTTTTCATGTGGTTGGCTTGATAACTGGGTTTGCATGTCTTCAGCAGCATCTGTGACACAGAGGTTCACAAAACCAAATACATTAGCCAGTACCTTTCTTTTCTGTGTCAAAGCAGCCTGATATCTCACTGTCCTACACAGTAACCATGTCTTTTTCAGATACTAAAGCTTCACTACAGAAAAACTCACTGGAAATCCAATACAAGAAATATTTTAGTTTTGTTATATTAGCCACTTTCTCTAGACCTGCTCTGTATGTGCTCCTGAAAAAGTCAAAGCAATTAAGATGGAAATTTTCCTCTTTGCTTCTTTAACAGCTATTATTTGCAATGTATCTATGGTTATACTTTTCCCCTTTATTATCATAGTCCAATATGACTGATAAGTTTTTTAGCAGATTCTGCAGACAGGACACACTGGAGTAGAATATTTTCATTTCAATCTACAAAAATACCCTGTAGTTCTTTCTGAACTTTATATCTCAGATGAAAAATACTTACCACTAACCATTTCAAAGGATAAGTGGACAAATTTTCTGAGGTCTCATCCTCAAGGCATGGAATTTCTAAAGTCTGCTTTAACCACACTTTCTTCAGGTAGTGCCTTTCCTCTTTTATCACTGGAACAACAACAACAAAACAGAAGAAGGAAAATTAGAAACATGATGTTCATTGTGCTTTGACAACCAATGCTGACTAGTCTTCTATTCAAGGAACGGGCACTTTTTGGTTTAGAAGGGAACTGTAATTTTCAACCATTACCCCTAGACACATTTTTTAAGTGAAAGCCCTGCATCTGATTCTAGTTACAGTTTCATGACTCAATTCACAGCATTACCAGAACTTTTTGGCAATTCTTAAAAAAGCTTTTCTTAACTGCAGGATCACAATGTCTCCTTTAGGAGCTGAGAATAATTGGAAGCTACAATTTTTATCTACAATTCTTTTTTTCTGTGGCAATAAACCTTCACATCAATTTTGTGCACCTCTATTTCCTTTTCTCTGAAGATATCTTCAGAGACCTTCTTTTCACTAAGCAACCTATTCAGCATGTCAGTTAGGTTAAGACTAACTCTGTTTTTCAGTGTAAGTGCTCCTTTTGTTATTCTCCAACCTGCCCACTACCACAAAACTTGTCACTCTTTCCTTTCTTATCCATTTCAAAAGCCATTTCACCACCTCCTACCCTACCCATTCTCAATCCAGGGCTCCATCCAGCTGTGGAGGCTGGCCAGAGTGCTGCAGTGAACAGTGCCCTGCTGTGATCCAGATGTTGGGTCTGTGATTGTTCACATGTGTATTTAAGCAGGAAGAGCAGTGGTGATGGGGGGGGAGATGCTCTGAGTGCCATGGTCAGCACAGACCTCTCTGACCCTTGGCCACAGGGCAGGCAGGCATGTGGCACATCCTGCCATCCTCCCTTGCCCTCAGATCTGCCTTCCTTGGAGGCAAGGCATCAGCACACAACACAGGGAAACTCCTCAGCTCTGCTCCCCTGGTAGCTCTGGCTTGCATGTCGAGATAGAAGAGGTATGTATTTAATTTATTTCTTATCTTGAGGGGAGTGAGAATATCCAGCTGTCCCAGACTGCCATGTTATTTGTCAGTGGGGACTTTGTGGTGATTGAAACTTCCTTTGTACCTGGCACCCAAACACAGAGCAATAGTGCCAGCATCAGCCTGTGCCACAAAGATGTGAAGAAAGGCAGTGCCCTGAGCTGTGCCCGGGAGACCCAGCAGCAGAAGCAGCTTCCCTCCACTGTCCCTGAGAGTGAGGGACCTGGGGAGCCAGCTCTTGCTGCAGGACAGAGAGCACAGAAGCCCTAACAGGGCTGGGTAGTGCAGAGAGGATAATGAAAGGACAAAGCAAGTAAATCTATAGTAAATCTATAGTTTCTCCAGGAACAAAACTGTACAGAAGATTTTGCTGTGACAAACCACCATGCAAAAGTGCTGTGCACAGTATAGCAAGCGTGGAGATGAGCAGTCAACCCAGAGTTCAGTCTGGGAACAGCTTCTGCCTACTCTCACAGTCACATGTCCCAGCTGCTTGCTTCCCCTCCCATCTCTGACTCCAATCTCCATTAACAGCCTGTTGGCTAGAGTCCTCTGTGTCTGTCTGTCTGTCCTATGAAGGCCTGCTGCTCTGTGAGCTTTTTACAAGTTGACTGCATCTGGATTCACTTCACTTTGATGTAAATAAAAACTGTACTTCATCATAGACTGTCACCTTTATTCATCCCACTCACTCATAGGCTGGGTTAAGGTTTTTTGCCTTCTTTTGAGTCAGAGTGGTTTATTGCAAAAGATCGGGTTACCTTAAAACACAAACCTGCAAAAGGTGGCAAACTCAATTTTTTAGTTCTCTCTAGCAAGCAGTCATCAATAGCACAGCTTGCTACCTCTTGTAGTTACTGAAAAAAGCCAGAATGATGCTGATATGAACAAGGGCTGCCCAAACTGTAGACAGCAATAACAGCATTGAACCCATCTGTATCAATGAGGAGCAGAAGAAGAGAAGCAATGCCTGATTAGCTCAGTTGCTGTACTAAGAAAGAGACAGAGAAACTTTGCATGAAGAACAGAAGCATGGGAGGGTTTCACAGGGCTACCAGCATGGTTTGTACCTCACTGTGCTCCCTTTGATCCCTCTGCCCTGTGGAGCACAAGGAAATTCCAAAAGGGTAGCCTACCACAACACACACCCATACAGCAGGCAGAGTGGCAGCTTCAGCTTTGGCACATTTATTTGGCATGCACTGTTTAAACACACCCATCCTCTGTGAGCTGGGCAGAGATGCTGGCTTTCATTTGCCTCTGCGAGTTCATCAGGGCAGGCAGGTGCCACAGGGTTGCCCCAGATATGTCTCCAGGATAACAGCCCCAAAATTCTTGGAACCACTGCCATGCAGGGGCCATCAGTGTTAAACATCCCCAAGTATGAGTCTTGTTAAACATCCCTGAGTATGACCTCCTCTTGCTACAGGAGCAACATGGTCCAGCGTGGGACTACCAGTCTGGCCTTGTGATGTAGGTAAAAGGGCAGTGGGAGCACATCAAAATACCTCTAAAATAACCTGCACTCACCCTACTTCTAACTCTTGAATGTGTGCTGTGTCTACAGCCTTGGGCCCAAGCAGAGTGAGCACATTGGCCTTGCTGCTCTGAACTGACACAGTGCCAGGTTTGCTGTTTACTTTAATCCTTCTTGAGTTGTTAGCAGAAACCTGGGTCAGAAGGAGGTTTCTGAGGTCATCAAATCCAGTTCCCCATGTGCACAACAACAGGCTTGTTCAACATCCATGCCAAGTTCCACCTTCACAGCAGTTTGGGTTTTGCCCTCACTGCTGACACTAAATAGCTGTTCCCAAAATTGCTACCCTGACAGCTGCCACTGTTTTTTAATTTGTTGTCAAATCCATGCTCATCTGATTTAAATAAGTTTGTTCCCTTACCAGAATAATTTAAATATCCTCCCTGGAGTTTACACTCTCCCCCCCTGAGGCTTACTTACCAAAGAGCAGTCATGCTACTTTCCAGCTTCCTTTTGCTTGACAGAAAGCAAAATCTCCATTCCTGTGATTATACTACACAATTCCTCACTTTGCTCCAGTGTATTTTTGGTGGTGATTCCTTAAGTTTTAACTTTTAGATTTTTCAGATTCTGTACTGCTTTAGTGTATAGTTCTGAACTTCACATTAAGGCTTGGTAAACTCTCTTCACAGAGTAGGTAGACAAAATAATTCCTTTTCTAGCTTGGGACCAAGGACAATCAATACTAGTTTCAGGCCCAAGAGCATAAACAATGTGGACTGAAGAGAGAAAAACAAGAAGGATGGGACTTCATAACCTAAAGCTATAACTGGACAATTAACTTGAATATACAAATGGACCAAAACTTACAAAAATGTGAGACCTTGTGACTGGTCATCCATTTTGTGACCATTTTGGGTTCATCTTGGCTGCAGCCCTGTCTGGGCTCTTGTACTGCCCAAGGTGTATCTTGGCACCTTGTTGAGGCCTTTTAATAAATACCTACTTTATTCTTTAACTCTGTCTAGCCTCTGTTCTAGGTCAGCCTTCACAAGGTATCGGTGGGGACACTCATCCTTCCATGGAGCTAACACCGAGCATGCTCTGCAGATGCCAGCCCTCAGCCTCAATCAGACAAGGGTGTTTTCTCTTTCTGGTGCCCAGTGCTGCACGCCCACAGCAGCAGCAGCCCATGATTTGAAGATCCAACATCCTTAGTCCCACCATATCCTAAGCTGTTCATCCAGTCTCCTCCACAATGTTTATCCAAAATGAAAATGCAGAAACTGCCCACCTCACCACCTTTTTTTACCTTACTATCGAACTTTTTATTCCACCAAACAATTAAGATTTCCTAATCATTAGTTGGATAAAAGAGCTAAAGAGTGCCTGGTAAATAGGAAACTGTAAAAGCAACATTCAGTGCCACTACTGTGAATCCCAAAAAAGTCACCATCACCAACCAAGAAGTGTTCATTTATCCTGATATCTTCCCCCACCTCATTAGGAAACAGCAAAATCTCTTACATTGCAATCACTTACCTTCTGTCTTGACAGTAAGTTGAATTTTTGTGGCCTTTATCCCATATGGGTAAGTAGCAAAAGTGCATTCGTACTGCCCAGTAAGTGACACGGTAATATTTTCCAGATGCAGCATCCACCAATTGCATTCAGATGTGACATCTGGATCGGCGGAACACAAGGACCCTGTGTCGTCCCCACTGCAGCACATCCTCGTGCTGAAGAACACTGAAAATTTGTAAGAAGCCTCAGAAAACTTGAAGTAATGGGTGCCATAGATGGGGTGACATACAGCTATTTGGTAGAGGGGCTGCCATCAGTCTTGGACCACTGTGTCTGTGTGATGTGGGTGCTGTGTGGTTTTGGGAACAAGCACACCAGGGTCACGTCAGTACCTGGCAGAGCATGGACCACTTCTGTCTGGGTAATGACATCTGCAGTCTGGCCTTAAAAACAAACAGGATCATCTTCAGTGCAAGTAATATTTAAACAAAGCTTTTCCTAATCCATTTTTGACGTGATTTGGTGCCTTAGCCACAGACAGCTACAAAGGCCCTACAACTTTAACCACAGGCTTCCCAGCAAATCTCCACCAATACAGACTGCAGAGAGAAAACTGGGAAAACAAATGCATGTGTGTCTGGAAGAGGCCAGGGAGATCCTGTCACACTTCTTGGAGAGAAATGAGAGCTCTGAGGGCCTCTGTGAAAATGAAAATCTTTCAAGTAATATAAATAATGCAGAAGCTGGACACAGTTATTCCCCAGTTCTTTTTGCAAGAACAAATGTGCTATCCCTGCTGGCTAATTCCCTGCACCACCCCCCTGCCCATTGCCCTTGTGGCTTCAGCAGAGAAAGCTGTTCTCCGTGTTATTAAAGAGCTCCTGCATGTCCTAAACCAGTGTCTGTCTCAGTGTCAAAGTGAGCTGCTCTGGTGTGTGTGTTTTCTTCCTCTATTAATTTCATAAAGCAGGTGGCAGTCCTTAGTGTGCCATATAAAGGAGTAATGGATCGATGAAATGAAGGGGCATTCAGCAGGAGCCTGTACCACTTGGTTTAGCTGCTGTTGTAGTAGAATTGATTTATATCCCTTTCTCCCTCCTCTAAGTAAGAGTCTGGCAGTCCCCAAACCCCTGAATGCAGGGCACTGACAAACTCAAGGAGATGAAGAATTTATGGAGGAGGTTCTTGCAGTTACATGAATCACTTTCATAGAGCCATACACAAAAAGTCCCCTTTCCAAAAGAACATCCAGGTCCACAAAAAAATTAGTTGTGCGTTTGTCCTTAGGTACAGACCTGTTTCCCCCCATTTACATTCCATTTTATCATCCTCCCTGTGTATCATAACATCCCCATATATTTGCTGGGGAATTTGCTCTGCAGCCCTGCCAGCTGCAAGTGCCCACTGCTCACCTTCTTTCCTTGAAAAAGCTGGGTACCAATTCCCTTGCTTTGGCACTGGCTCTGCTGTGTGGTACATGGCTCTGGGGCACCTGAGCCAGGGGGGCCCTGCCAGGGCTCAAGCATCCTCAGTGGGGCTGCAGTGTGCCCCACACTCCCCTCAGCTCAGCCAGGAAGGAGCCAGGCAGGGACTCTGTGTGCCCTCAGCTCTGGCTTGATGGGGAGAAGGCACAAAGGCAGTGTGACACATCCTCACAGAGGTGGCTCTGATTTGGTATCTGTACACTGAAGGGTGACATGGACACTTGGAGACAAGATGTGTGGAGAACAAAGCTACTCAATTGCCATGGCCAACATTAATCTCTGCTGTTTCATTGCTGCATGTCTTCTGCTCATCTTTTATTCTAAAAGATGTGATGATGTAAGAGGGCAAATAAAAATAAGCCTGAATGACAAGTCTCACAGCCTTTTTCTGAGAGAAAAATTACTAAAACTATTTTTGTCAGTCCAAGGAGCTTATTATAGGAAATGCTCTCTGATTTCACTGCAAGTTTTGCATCAGTAAAAGTTAAGGGAAAAGCAATTAGGAATCTAGCAATCAGACTATCAAGCAAAAGACACACAGCATTTTTTCTCTCATATTCTTGCTGCCTTAGGTCTAAGGATCATATAAATAATGTCTATGAAGAACCACTTGAGTAACTTATATTAAGTTGAAAAAGTTATATATGTAGAAATAATTTGATTTGCATTATTTCTTAGTAGCCTAGCACAGTAGATTATTTTAACTTAAAACATTTTGTACAAAAGTGTTCTTAACTTTTTGCTAGCATCTCAATATAAATAATCTCATTTTATGTCAACTTTATTTTTCAAAATCAAATAGTGTCCATTAGTGCATACCTGTGCTCCAGCTGAAATATCTTAGAGTAGCTCCCAGACATTTAAGTGTCTGATCCCACAAAGGGCATAGAGGCCTCCACTTTCACCTTTGAGTGACTTCAATGAGGATTTAATCTCAGAGGAAAAAACCCCTCCAATTCCTATTTTTCTGTAATTGCTATTTCTTTCTTACATGTGCATGTTGTGAGGTTTCTATTCCTTTCTTTGCACTTGAGATTTTCTATTTTCTATGAATATATGTATGAATTATTTTTATTTTAAGAACCAGTTTGCCTCAGTGATGTAGCAAAAAAAACAAACCAGCCTATGCCAGGTTGTGAGATGCATCCTTCCATGCTAGTGAAATACATCCAGTTTTTCCCTTAACTGGAAAATTGTGTATCCTATAAAATTGTTGTTACTAGCTGGTAATAAGTATTCCTGCATTTATCATGGTCAGAATTTTAGGGAGCGGGGGTGGGGGTTTTTGAACATACTTTTTCTTGGTTTTCTTCAGATTGCTTTTGGTTTAAATTTCCTCTCTGACAAAGGTGCAGCCCTTCTTAGTCAGCTTTTCTGAGTGTTTTACTTGAATGACAAACTTGTTTCTCTAGATATTAGCCCATGGGGCTAGGTGGAGAAGAGGAAGGGAGGAATCTGTTTAAAGGGGTTATACCTGTACAATTTACTCTTGCCTTGAAGTATTTCAATTCTTTCTCTCTCTGCATACACAGGTATGTAAGACAGAGACATAGCGATGTTTTTTATTTTCCCATTGAAAGCTGTTTTCCTTTTGGCCCATTGAGAGGAGCACACATCGCCCTACTTCAAGTGAGCTCATCCCAGTGATTATTCCAGCAGGTTAAGCATATTGAATTAAGTAATCTGCTCAGCACAAGGCATTTACTCCTTACTAGCTGCACATTATAATTAGGGTTATTAGAAAGTTGTCAAGAAATAGAAAATCATCACCAGTAGCTACATCTCACCCTAGTGAGACCCACTAATCCCAGCCTGCCCCTCATCACCCACCATCATAAAATGAGTCAAGGTGTCCCCCTGACACTCTTAGCTGTGACACTGGGCACTATCTTCACTAGATGAAGTTCTGTGAATATCTAGCTGTCTTGGTGCTCCCTCAGAAAAAGAAGTTGAAGTGGCCTGACCCATGCAGACAGGCAGATGTGCAGCACAGTCACTCAGCATGACTTCAGAGAAATGCTTCATTAAACCGAAAGCCTCATTTTCCTGCCAGACTGATAAAATAGGTAAATCTTGTGAAACCTTTAAGAAAAAAACATTACCTACATTTCAGCCCATGTTGAAAACAATTATTTTTTCCTTTGTCTTTTCAGATTAACTCAGAGTAAGCAGTTTACCAGTTTACACACTCTCAAAAATATGCCAGGTACCTAAGTTTGAATATATAATTTTTGGGGATATGGTTTTTAGGGGTGATTATGGTGATGCCAGGTTAGTTGTTGGAATTCTTCTTGAACGTCTCTCCCAACACTGATGATTCTGTATGCTCTGTGTGCTATAAGGTAGATTAATGGATTTTACCAATACTACTGAACGGGACTGCCTTGGTCTGTCTGGCCTCAGCTGCTGACCCAATCGTGGCACCTGTGGTGTTTTTCCCCCAGAGGCGCCCTGGCTAGCTGTGAGCACGTGGGGACAAGTCCAGGCACATCCCGAGCTCCAGTGCTTACGGCTGGAGCTTGCTGTTGATGAGGGTCCCTCCTCAGGCCTCCCTGAGCTGGAGAAACCTTTAAGGGGATGGTGAAGGAAGGAGTGGATCCTGGTGGAGAGTTTTTAATCCAGAGTTTTTATTCTGGGCTGCATGGCCGCTGAATCCTGCAACAACTCCAACAGAACTCCCACCGCGTGGTGTGCTTGCCCTTTTACCTGGGGAGAGGGGCAGGGGAGGGAACACAGGGAGCACCAACCAGGCACAGGGGGAGGGGGTCTCAGGTGAGAGGGACACCTGGGTGGGCAATGGCCCCCCAGGGGGTGGAGAGCATCCTTTGAACCTGCCCCTTGATGCTCCCCTTGGAATTTCTGGTTTGATAGACAGTGCCCAGCAGGGGTCAAGGGTGGAGAAAAGGAGAGGTGGTGATTGACACACCACCTGGGGAAGGAAACTTCAGGGGAGGGACTAGGGAAACTGAGGCACACCATGACAACACACTGCAACAGTAGATAGCATACAAAAAAGCTGGTTTTCTTTCTTCCTTAACTTCCTTCATGTGCTAGTCTCACATATGCTATTTCTATACTCTCTACACTGAGTATCTTTTAAAAACACAGCAAAACATCATAAACAATCTCCAGAAACTAATATGGATTGAAATAAGGATTTCTACATTCACTTTCCCCCCCATTTCCATTTTCTTCCTAAGAAGAACACCAATCATTTTCTGCAGTTTGATAAATTCCAATATCCTGTGTGACAACGTCCCTTGGTGTGGTTAAAGTCCTTCAGCAGCTGGTTTTGGTAATGGCAGCACCTTCAGGTGGAGGGGCGTGATTCCTGGCAGTCCTGTCACCTGTCTTTATTGCCAGTCACTTGTACATGCTACTGAGCTGCCCTGGAAGCACACTGCATTTCCACGAGCTAGGCACAGGCCTGTCAGCAAAGCATCTCATTGCAGGCAAATCATGCAAATTTTCTGCTGTTGGCAGCTTTACAGAAAGAAACAGGTTTGAGTTCTTGCTTATCAGGCCAAAGAGCAGGGCAGGATACCTCACATACACAGTGTGGATATATGTTATGTGCTGGCTCTTCACAGTGTGGATGTTTAGCAGTATGGATGGCAGGACGCTTGTTGCCCCTGATAGCTCCATCCTCGGGAGCCCAAGGACAACAAATTTGGACTTTGTGACAGAGCCTATTATGGCCCATTCCTCAGGGAAGAGAAAGCAAGGGTCACAGTCCCTTAAACAGTGACCTCTCTCTACCAGCAGTGCCCTCCCTCAGGAGGGAGTCCTTGACTGAGCTGAGTCCTGACGTGTTTTTTCCTGACTGTCAACTTTTGCTAACCATGGAGCTCCCCATACCTCTGTAATGCAAACTAAAAAGTAAAAGCTGAAAAAGGAGGACTCTGGTAATTTTCCTATTTGGTGACCTGCCAGGTGTTAACAACATCTATACCACATCCCCAATTTGTGCATATGCAAACTTTTGATGTCACATTTAAATAGGCTCCAGCTGGAGCTGGTAGTGCTGGCCAGGCTACGTCATGGCTCCACATCTTTTGGAGAATAAATGCTGCTGCACAGTCTTCTTTTTGGTTGCATTGCTTTTCTACCCGAGGAAATGTACTAAGAGCACTTGTAGGAAATGCACTGGATGCCCAGGTTACTGCTAAAGGAATTTTCCCTGGGGATGAAATCTCTGCTTGTCATTCAGAAATCTGACAAAGATCTGTCCCAGATGATCAAGAAGTCCTGAAGCTGAGGACGAACAGAATATTCAAGCCATGGTTATTGACAGCCACAGAAGGGAATTGTTCTGGTTTCCACTTCAGAGCAAGGACCACAAAGAACACAGAGATTACCTGCAGATACTAGAGTCCAAGAAAATCTGACTTCAGTCCAAAATTTTGATTTTCATTTATAATTGCAGTTACCTTTGCTTCTCCTGTTGATCAGGTCATGTAAGCTTTGTACCATGAGAGAATGTATTTTGTCTTAAATGAGATATTTTATTGATCTGAAACACACACCACAAATTGACACGATAGCCTAAGCGCTGTGTGGCATATTCAGGAGACAAAGAAATCCCAGAGCAGCTTGTTTGAGTTTCTAGATCCCTGTATCTTGCCCTTAGAATCTGTTTCCCCCACTAAAATAACATCCTAAAAATATACTGCTGCCATGTTTCATTGTGTTGACTGAATGCAGCCACCCAGCTCTATTGCTGTGCTTGGTGATTAAAGACAGACAAGAAAGAAACCTCCCAGCATGATAGAATTTTGTTCCATTCAGAGCTGCGTTTTGCCCCAGTTTCTACCTTAAGCCCAGGCCCTGAAACACTCATCCTGCTGCCGACATTCATGTGCATGAGCAGCATAGCCCTGCCTCTGCAAATGACGGCAAAACCCATCCTGAGACACACCACTTATCTCACCTACTGGCAGGGAGACATCTCTTACCCAGAGCCAGACTTGAGGTCCTGCTCACAGCAAATTATTA